CGGGGCAACGCTGACAGCTGTCATGTCGCGACATATCCCCCGCATCGTGAGCAAAGCGCAGACCACTGCGCGCACGGCAGCTGTTACGCGTTTAACCTTCGGCTGCGCGGCGGAAAGGCGCGGGGAGGCCGAGGGGCCGAGCCCGCGGGCGGGGGTTGGGAAGCTGCGAACTGTGGGGCCCGTCAAGTGGTTTCTGATTCATGGAAAAACTCAAGACATGTTCGGCAGGCATGCGAGAATAGGCACGGAAATACCAGAAAAGTGGAGAAAAGTATCACCATGAGCTGTACAGACAGCCGAGAAAACGAACTCCCTCTTAATTTTCTAAACAAAATATTTCCACGTGTTCAATGAGTATTATTTTAAAGCAAATATACTAACCTCAAAAAAAGATGTTTAAAATACCATAATTGTTGCTGCAGCTGCATTACAATGTGATCTTTAAAAGACTTTTTATCAGTGTCCAGTACAAAGGGAAATTCCCCAAATTTAAACTCATGAGCTTTGCCTTTCAGCATCTTGGATTTCCCCTACTCTTTGTGGGAAGGCTTTTTTTTTTTTAAAGTCGGTCATTAGAAGAGTTGAAAAAGCTATGTTTTGGTATCCACAACTCTATTTTAAAAGATCACGCTTAGATGAGCTTACTCTTTGTTGAAGTAGCAGATTACAGGTGCATTTTGTGTATGCCCTACATAAAAAGTCTGCTTTCTTGGATTTTTCAATACTTTTCCCTGCTTATTAATACTACAGGAGAATAAAATGTCTCGCTCTGTATTACAAGACACAGAGTTTGTCCCTTCATTAGGGAAGCACTTCATGGGCAGACACAACACGTTTAAAGCTGTGATGCAAGCGCTGGCACACACAGAACAGTGTAAGAACATCTCTGCTGCATCAGACACAGAGTCTGTCTAGCCTGATGCCCTGTCTCCCAACTGTGGCCAAAAGTGGATGCCCAAGGAAAAATACTACGACTACAGAGAGCCTTTAATGATACATTTCCTGAATCCTCTCCCAGTCTCCAACCATCTGGTGGGACTTCCCAAGCCAGAGATAGTGTCTGGTTATTTAATAACCCTTGCTGGATTTCTCTTTCATGAACTTGCCAGTCTCCCCTTGAACTCACGTGAACTCCATGACATGCCATGACATATGCTCAGCATAACGACGCGTTGTGTGGTTTTATCTGAAACCTCACCTTTCATCTGAGCCTTCTGTCTGCCAGCACCGTTTGATGCCACTTTTGTACGGGAAGATACCACAAGCAATCGATCCCTGTGCATCCCCTCCACAATACCCAGACAGAATTGAGCCTCTGGAGACTGTGTACAGCTGTACGAACAGGTAGTATGCAAGTTTGTAGGTTGATCACTAATGTTTCCACTTTGGTTCTAGAGAGACAAGGCCATTAATTCCCTATAAGGATCTACAGTCAAGTGTATTAGCAGCAAACACAGGGAAAAAGAAATCACAACAATTCTGACACTGATGTTGGGACATCTTCCTGTTGTAAATTAGATTCTGTTCCATCTTCCCCTGAATACACTAAGAATGTGTATTTAGGAAGTGTTATTATTTAGAAGGTATTAGGGTATCTTTGTAAGAACAGTTTTGAGATGAAACACAAGTGATTGATTAGGACATGTCCTCAGTCAAAAGGAAGTAGAGAATGCATGTATTCCAGTTGGATGTTGATATTGTGCATGTCTGTTAATGACCAGAGTGAGGTAAAATACAAACTTCAATGGATGAACATGTCTGGCAGTGAGTGGATAACCTGAAGGTGCAGTTTCTGGTCAGCTAAAGCAAACCTAAGGCAGAGCTGCAGGGACCCATCTTCTGCAGCCTGATGTTCCCTTCCTGTTCCACGCAGGTACTAGTATTCGTGCAGTGCTGCTAGTTCCATACAATGATGCCAATTTTGACCTAGCCAAAATGAATTTTCTAAGGAGTTTGCATTCACCTGACTCAGCTCTGAATTGCTTAGGACTGCACAACCCCCCAGGCTAGACCCAAACCGGGACCATAACAGCACTGATTCACATAAGCTTACGCTGTTGTGGAACTTCATACAGAGGGTAAATAACCCTCATACAGAGCAAAAGTTGCTAACTAAGCAGTCCTGTACAGGAGAAGACACTTGCTTTAATAAAGCAGTATCTGCACTTTCAAGGAGATGTGGCAGTTCTCTAACTTACAGAACTGTAAACCCAATCTTCTGACAAATTAAAAGTAAATCAGTTTGAGGAGTGAGAGACGTAGAGCCCATCTCTCTGCTTTCCCTGGTGGACTCCAGAAAGCAGGTGACATACAAGAGCTGTCATGTTCTGTCAGAAAAGGGGTCTGTGATGAACGCTACCAACATGATGAATTTAAAACCTATATTCTAGGTTACCTCAAGAGCTACCCAGCTCCTCTACACTTTCTGCACAGTACCTGAAGGACATGACTGTATGCAGATCACACCTGCTGGTTTACAAACTGGTATCACCAGGAGTAGAACAAGTGTCAGGATTGCTCTCTGACATGAAAAAAATAGCAGGGAACATGCTTGAATGCTGAGAGTCCTGAGAGAGCTTGTCATGGGCCACTGCAGAAGCTCAGAACCGCAAGTACTATAAAAAAAGATCCACATAGTTCAGTTTCAAACAGAGGACTCTTCAGTGAACAAGACAAATAGGACAAAACCATGATATTTCATCTGAGATTAATGTAGCATTTCTATTGTTTTGGGGGAGAAAGGTTTCTATTAAAGTGGTAACTGCAATAAATGAACACACCATACACACAGAAATAATAACTTAGAACACTTTTCCTGTAATACGTACTATTTTTCTTGTTTTATAACTTGAGATAGGTTTTATAGAAATCTCTGTACAAAATTCATCCTTTCCTATTATTGCCTGTAAGAATTTCTTGTTATCACCAATTTTTGTTTAAAAAATCCATGCGTTTTCATAAGCAAACTATTCCAATGACATGAAAACCTGTCAGAAGCAGCAAATTTAAGAGTGTGAAAGAGCCACACAATATCCCACTGTCTGTTTCCTTATTCTTCCAAACAAAATCTTAATGTATGTTGCTGTAACAAATAGCCTACATTCTATGTGATCAAATGAATTCTAACTAGTGTGAGAATGTATTAGGGCTCTCAGTGTCTGGCAAACAGTAAACATACCATTTGGCCCCATTACCACCATTTATTGGTTGGTAGACATTGCAACACTGTTGCACGGCCAGCCCCACAAATTTTGAAGGTACTTTGCAAGTCCTGCTTCATCATTTTGAAGTACAGAGTTTATGAATTACAGTGCAGATGAAATGCTTGACCAGAAAAAAAAGATAAAACCCCTCACAACCTGAAATTCCAAGAGCAAAACCAAGTTTTAATTCAAATCACATCGAGAGGCTACAGAAATCACCTGTAAAGGTGGAAATAATGGATCTAATTTGTCCCTGCTGGAACACCACTGATGTTAACAGATTTACTGCAGGAATGACTTTGACAAAATGTAGTCACTGATTTTTCTTTAGTTATAGGCCTCACACATTAATCTCATCATTGTACTGCTGAGTTCTCCTAGTCAGCAACAGTGATTTAAAAGAAAAAAAAAAGCAACTTCAGCTTGTGCAATTACATTCTTCATTGCGTCCGCTGAATGCAGAGCCATTTTCTTGGTACTCGATATGAATATTTTTCTTCCAAAGTGTCTTTATAAGGGATATGCCATGTATCACCTGTAGTCTGTACCACACAGTCATAACAGAGAGTAGGCTGTTGGATAAAGACAGATAAAAACATTTTTTTAGACTTTACACAGTATATTACTAAAATACCAGTTATAAGTAGTTCTAACTTCCATCTTAGAAATCTCCACAGATTCATCTCTTTAACAACTCTCATTTATTTCTGTACACCAAACAAATTCTAAATTTTAGTACTGGTGGAAGAACTAAAACATCTTTTAGTATTTTGTGGTCTAGGAGTCATTATAAATGGTTAAAATTCTTCCTTCAAGCTCCACCAGATAATGATTTGAACATAATGCATCCTATTTCTAGAAATAGCAAAATCATTGTTTTTCTGTTCAATTAAATGAAATCACATGGGAATTAACTCAGGATGTGGAGTTTGTAGGCTTGAACTGATTGGATTTAATGACATTAATGACATATCGTGTTTGTTCTCTCAGTGTACCTCTTTACAGAACTGACTTGCTCTGCACTGAGGAGGATGTTAGAAAAGGGTTTATCACTAATACTTTTAAGAGCATCTACTTGAACAAATATAATAAACTATTTTTCTGGTCTATTATGTTACAGGTATACTAACTCAATATATATAACACAAATACAAAAGAAACATTACTGTTTGGAAACTACAGTTCTCAGAAATACTATCACTCTGTATGTGTACTCCCTGAAATCTACTTTGCCTGACAGCTTCCAGAATAACCTAGAAGATAGCTATGACTGGGAATGTCATTTATCCAAATCACTTGTATGGAAACTAAGATGTGAAAATTAGTAGCCCTTTTGTACAAAAGAAACAAGGTGTAGCTAAAGCTGTGATACTCAGGTAACCCTACATTCAGTATTTGGTTCCATAAAAAGAAACTCCTATATGGCAACACTGAATGAAAGGATGTTGTTCTTATAAGCCTCTATCTCTATGGTCTGTTTGTAACGATGAATATTATTTTACAATTTTAACCAAAGCAGCAAGAAAAATAATCTGCATAGGTGCAGTATTCCTTTCAGTAGGCAGTAACATGCAGATAACAAAAAACCTGCATGATATGGAATGTCATGTGATGAATTTTTCCCTATAAAAATCTTATAACAGCTGCACTCCTGTTAATGTACTGTTCATGGCTCACAAAGTTACGTGTCTTCTAGACAATAACAGCATAGTAT